AGTAACCTACTGCTTGTTTGAGGCCTATCGGTTTGAGTGAACCTGGTGCTGTCCGATCTTGGCTTACCACCATTCTTCTCAAAGCGGTTCTGGAAACGTGGCACACCTGGGCTCCGGTCGTTAGCTCGTCTAACCCACCTGTCATTCCCACAAGACTATCAATACAACTACCAAAATCATCAAAGTCTATCGTCTTCCTTTATTTCAGTGGTGGGACGCATCGTATCGGTTTAGTCATTCGCGGAACCAAACAGTGACACTGTGCATAATATGTTTTGGGCGACCTAGCTTCTGGATCATTGCAGCGTCATGTTTCAAACTGATGAGCCACTCACCCTCTTCAACTTGTTCCTAAAATGCAATATTTGGCTGTTGTCGATTGTGATCAAAAACTGAGTGTGCAAGTCGTAATGAGTATCGGACTACAGGCCATAAAAGAAAACACGACATTAGAATGGATCTTCTGTCAGTGACCGTAATTGCAAACTACTGTAAGTGCGGTTGACGATTCCAACGTACGTAACAAGATCGTCCGTGTTCCGTATAACCAGTTTGGAGCGGCGGTCGCGAGTGTTTAATAGCGAGGATGTGGTATCAAACATTTTGTTGGGAGTATGGAAAATCTGGTCACGAGGCTGATCTGGGAGGACGAACCTCGCATAGCGAGCATGTTGAACTGGTCCCGGTTTCCGTAGCAAAAGTCGGATCTTGTTTTCATCACATTTGAGGGCCAGCTCCACATTGAAAATGTCTCCATATCGTTTGAACTAGGAAGCGAAAGAACGTCTGACTGTGGGCCATGTACAAAATTTTCAGCGTTCTGGAGCCGGTTCTGTGCTTGCACGAATTAAGCCGATGCCCGTAAGTCATGAAATCAGCATCTCGACCAACTTTTGTTGAGACTGGTGCATCTTGAAGACTGAATTAGTAGCTGACACTGTGAATGGAAACCCCCATCACCAGATATGTTGTGACGCTTATTTTCTGCTTGTGATTTTGATAAACGGCCTGTGAACTTGACCTCTGCTCAGAGCTCCAATCGCTCCAGTCATCAAATGACTCGTTTAGATCGCACGAATGGGGCTAGTATTAGTCGATCGACAATACTTTTCATAAGACCGTGTAGTGTCTCCTCACACTGCTCGTCTGACTGACAAATATCGGACGACTGGGCCAGATGCAACAGTTGGGCTCGTGTTGCGATGTTGGGAATGAATCGGGAATAGCACCGCAGGTATCTCACGACTGATTGTAATTTTGCCTGATTCTTAGATGACTCGATTCCGAATAATAGTTTGAAATGATGTGGATCAGTCTGGCACTCGTTTGTATTAACGGTGAAACCGAGGAAATCTAGATCAGTGTCACCGAGTTTGCACTTTGTGGTTTTATTCGAAACCTTTCCGGCAGTTGTTGCAACCGAAGATCACATTCTTCGTTTGCGGGTCGAAAAATAAGCACATCATCCCGATATGCCATCACTCCATCGATATCATGAATCACTTCGTCAGTTATAGCCCGGAAGATTTCGGACGACATATGCAGCCCGAATGATAGGAAATCTTATTAAAACATGTCCTGCGGAGTGTTGATAGTTGTCAGTGGTCTGGACTCCCTGTACAGCGGAATTCGCAAATATGCATAACGCAGCGAAATTTTGAAAGGTACGTGCTGCCGAGCATACATTTTATGAAATCCTCCAGCTCCACGCGCATCTCCGTAACTGCGGATCCAGAGTCAGCCAAATATAACCACAAATTCGAGGCGTCTGCCTGTCGCTCTTCATTACTACCACAATCAGAGTCGCCCACGTGGATGAAGTCACACGTAATAAACCCGTGTTATTCCATCTTGGCAAGTCCCTTCAGGACACTGGCTCTATGGTCGTATGGGAACATTTTTCGCTTCAGGGGCACCATATGACTCCTAGATTCCAAATTGGGAAATATAAACGTTATTACAACAATGTCACAGCTATTCCGGACGACGGGACAGCAAAGGCTCTGTAAATTTGGGATCGAATTGCTGCCACAATCTATGTAATTAGGAACATTATTGACAATGTGCATTTTTTGATGTTGAATGCTATTCTGCTGTAGTGTTAGCATAGGAATGTCTGATTGCATGTTTGACAAAAGACCACCAGTGGTGTAATTTTGTTCACGACACAATTTTACATCGAAATGAGCAGCAGTAGATCGACTTGCTGATGACATTCCCAATTGCTTCAGAACTCCGTTTGCGATTTCTAAGCACATATCTTTAATCACTATCAACTCTTCGTTGTAGATTTCCGCTATCAAATCTATGTCCATATTTGAATTCTCCTTACATATTAGACGGAAAATATCCCCAGTCATGTGCGATTTACATTTCTTCCATAACTCCATTAAAGTTAAAGGAGAGCAGGCGGTCAATATGCATGCAAACAATACACGAATTCAATCCAGATGTGATGTGTTGCATGTGTCACTTCTGCATACATCTCAGTGTCGGTCGTCATCCAATAAACTCAGAGCCAGACGTGCACTGCTGAGAGTGGCAAGTAACGCCGTGGACAATTCTCAACTGCTGGAAAGACGTTGGACCGGGCACAGTTACCAACAACAAACGAAGAAGAAAGCATTCAACTTCATCAGGATGCAAGGCGTACAGTCTGCCAGATTGTCCGTCGACTCGCTCTCGTCGTTTGCGTCACTCAAATGATTTTCTACTTGCATTCCATGTGTAATACGTAGGCGCTTCCGAAAACAGCAGTTTTTTCGCAAGCGCGTCACTTTGATATAACTTGGTGAACGCTGTTAACTTTGTAGCCAGTGGATTCAGAGCTATTTGGAGCACATTTACAGCTGTGAAATAAACGCGTTGTCCATTTTCTAGATGTGCGGCTAACTGGACAGCAGCTGGACTTCGTTCAGGTATGGAAAATAGAAGAATTCACCATACACCTTCATAGCCGCTTATCTATCCTCCAGCCCGATACTATATGATTTCATCAATATGTATGACTGCATTCTTCTAGCTTCTTTCCGGTTGCACTCCAAAGACTGCCAAGTCACTACATTTATTCACGTACTTACAAATGAATCTGACCAATTTAACGGAGTTACAGTATTCAGCGTTTGTGTGCGCTTTGTATATTCTGATAGCAAAGGCGAATATAGAACAACCCACCGGCCATCTTCTGCTAATCTTCTGTATAAAGGGTATCCACCATTCTCTGTAGCTCTGTTGAATACTAATGCTCTGGGATATCGCTTGGAGCGTTTTCAGTCCATCATGCATGGTGAATTTGGACTCGGTGGACCGCAAGGTCCATGTCACAACTTCATGGAAATCCTCATTGACGTCGGCATCGCATATTTCAGAGCATATTACATCATCAACTTCATTCGAATAGATTCTGCTGTAGAGCCAGATCAATTTGTGGTTGCGGCAATCCTCTCTTTTGCCATTTCAATGAGTACATCTAGGAGTGCACAGACTGAAACATTTCATATTTTACCATGGTACCCACAGGCGATTTGAGCCTGTCTGGAAACGCATGCTGTGGTATCATGCCTATCCACCTGCGATAGCCCAGGAAGTAAAAGATGTTGTATATCGTCCGCAGCTGGATTGCATGTGAATACAATGAATAGGTCTGGACGCTCGTAATGACGAACAACGCAATTGCATCTTGAGCGCACTCATGCATATGACGTGGACTGCCTGTACATGACGGTGGCAAAATCGTTAGTCTTCCAATGTTAGTTGTATTAGTCACTGACAACTGTATCTGGCAAATGAACGTATTCTTCAGAGCAAAGCTTGCTCTGATTCAAACGGATGAATATCAGCCGTTCTGTTTCGATTTTTGAACGTGTCTAGGATGTTGTGGTGAAAAAATTGACGGCATTTCAAGGTGTGATTGTACTCGCTCCCTTGAATCATTATTCGATATGAATAATAGTTCCTCGCACTGCATTTCATATTTGCTTCTTCGCCAATGACAGGATTCATCATCTTAAAGTTGAAGTGATATCCATCGGCACCGTCCCAAAAAATGAGTGGATATTGTCGGAAATGGTAGCATCGATGAGTTTCTGCAACTTTTGGCAACGGATCGTTTTTCCGATGAAATTGATCTCCGGCTACAACAATTCCCATTTCGTCTATAGTTAGAGCACTGAATCCTTGCACATATTCTCCAGCAGGTGTTTTGTTAGCATCAATAAGATTCTTGTGTATCAGATGGCATCATTTCAGTTGCTGTTTTGAACAAACGCATAAATTGTTTATTTTTTTCGTGAAGAAGCTCTTGCAGTTGGAAAACGATGGACCATTTTATGCCGGTTGAAATTCCGCAGCCTATATTCAATTCTTCATCGCCATCACCGATGAAATACATTTGTAAAAATTTGTGTTGACCATCTGGGAACGGAATCAAACAGCCGGCTTTGTGATAAATGTCGTTTCCCTTTGAAAGTTGGCATGGATTGAACTGTCACGATTTCTGGTCTGAACGACGTCATTTAGAATTGTGAGTTGTATTTCCTGGTGTTAGATAGGAAATGCTTTGATTCCACAGTATATACGGCAAGTAAAGTTTTTAGTGGCTCTGGCGGTTCTCCAAGCTGAGGCTGTTTAAGTTTTTCCGGCGGCGACTAAACATTTCCCTTGTTTCTCTATTAAATTTCAGGGCCTTACACTAAGGACACATTTCACTCATAGTGCCCGATGAGAACATTTCGGCCGAACCTATAACCATGATCTAAGTTGTACCGGAAAGCGAGACGATTGCAATCGTGTGACTGCTGAGCATGGAGTTGTGCTTGAAGTTGATCTCCTATTTCTCCACTTGCTGAGAAAGCTGTGCGAATCATGCCGCTTAGCGTCCACATTAGGAGAACTGCAAGAAATTGTGATCAAAGGTCTGTATTTGACTGTAATGTTTATGATTTATTCGAACAAAAAAGTCAAGACACTAAAAGTCTATTATTATCACTTCCAGGGTGTTATCACACCGTCAGGGAAGCGATCACTTTTTCTATGAATTCCTTCTCTTTCAGACCAGTGAACCGACTTATTTCTTGACCGTTTTTCATGGCGATTACTGTGGGGACAGCAGATATCTGCACCAAAAGAAAAAAAGCAAGATTGACAAATTTGGAATTGAAAATAAAATAAACACATTTTATAGACACTCCATCTCAAAACCGGATAGTCATTTCTATCGATAAATTACAAAACTAATGAGTCGTCCCGTAATCATTCAATATTTGGCAGCCCCAGTGGGGAAATGAAAACCAGGAACATCGATATTTCCGTTGTTATTGTCGCGTCTGGAATGCAATTACGAAGCAAACGGACAAATTTATATATATATATATATATATATATATATATATATATATATATATATGTATATATATATATATATATATATATATATATATATATATATATATATATATATATATCAATACTCGAATTCTGGCCTCAGCCTTGCTCACCCAGTCATCTCATCTAATCTTAGCGATACTATGCAACCATCGATAGTCAAAAACCTCAAGACGACGAATATCTTCCGTACGCAGACCCCAAGTCTCGGAATTATACAACAAAACTGAACGCACTGTGGCACATTATACAAGACTTCTCAACTTCAGCAAAATATTAGGTCGCCGCCACAAGTACTTCAGTCCAACGAACGCCGTCCCAGCTTTGGAGATACGCGTGCACACCTTTACTACTGTGCTCTCATCCGTCGTCACGCTGCTTCCGAGGTAGGTGAAGTGGTCGACAATTGCCAGCACCTCCCCATCAAGCATCAATCTCGTAACGGTTGACGTCCAGTCTTTTAACATCACTTTACACTTTGAAGGTGCAAAGCGCATGCTTAATGGAGCTACAGCTCTTGCGAGTCTACCTAGTACACGTTGAGCATGTTCCGTGGATTCGAACAAGCAGACAACGTCGTCCGCGTAATCTAGGTCACAGCTTTTCACGTTTACCTAGTTTGACGCCTACATCCTGAAGATTTTGCAACGCACTCTCCGTAATTTCGTCCATGACAAAGTTGAACAGGAATGGAGACATGGGACATCCTTGTCGAACACTGCTGGTTGTTTCGAACCGACCGGATAGTTCACCGTAAACTCTAACGCGGCCAGAAGTAAAAGAATACAATGATCTCAGTAGGTTCACGAAATTCTGGGGCATACCTTTTCGATAAAGAGCATTGAAAAGCGCTGTTCGACCAACTTAACCGAAGGCGCCTTTCAAGTCTAAGAAAATCGTTATCGTCGGTCGGTGGTGCATGTGACGCGTTTCAAGTAGTTGGCGAAAAGTAAAAATCTCGTCGACGCATCTCTTATGAATCGGAATCTTGATTTGTCTGTCAACTTCCGCACTACTCATCATTTCATGAAGCATGTGCTTTCACATCTATCTTCCCTTTTCTTGTAGCGCTATACTCCACTCGTCAGTTGATTAAAGCCTCTTAACCCAAAACATTTCTGTGTACTGACATTTGTAGCGACCTAGAGATGACTGAGTTTGAATGTGTACATTCATGACCAAAATCTACTTTAGACAAACAACCAATTGGCACTTAGCTCTAAGCAGTTTGTATGTTGTTCGATGCCACAGGGCTGTGCGTTGTTTGTCTGCTTGCTGTTAGGACAACTGGTTTCGCCAACTGAAGAACACACTTGTATTTTGTGCTTGCGGACGGTTGAACCTTAAGCTCCCTCAACTAGTATCGCGTCCGGTGTCGCTCCTAAACGTACACGTGGAGATTGTTTCACTTATCGTTACAAATTAATTCCATTCAAGTGACCTAGCCAGTTCACGTCTACGGTAGGTTTTTTCCTTCGTCGGTGACATATTTTTTCTAAAATTAATTAAACCTTTTATCAGGTACAGAGATAGGTATTCCGATTGGAAACCTTTAACAGCATACATTTTTTTAAGGCAAAAGTCATATTTCCGTTCTTTTTTCACACCTGTGCATGTCAGGTGTAGCCAATATTTTAGAATCCCAGCCTAGTTTGTTTTCACATTAAATACCCTTTTCCAAATGAACACGGAGCACAAGCCCGATTATGAACCGGGGTGCCATGCAGGGCACATGAAAATCCCGGATTTTATACCGGAAGACCCGGAGGTTTTTATTGCCATTCTAGAGTCTCGCTTCCAGGCGGCTTGAATATCTGGCCAACGATCCAGATACAATAAACTGCTCTCGACAATTGCAGCCAAAATGATCCTATCAATCAAGGATTTCGTTATGAACCCCTTGGAGGACAACCCGTACGGTACATTCCGAGAAGCTCTTCTTAAGCATGTAACAGCGTCGGAAGAGAAACATATCCAGCTCGTTCTCTCCGAAATTCAACTGGAAGATATGACACCTTCACAGTTGTTACAGAAAATGCGTTCATTATTAGATACGACGTCCATGGACGATGTAGTCCTACGTCAACTATGGACGCGAACGACTCCCATCGTATGCTTAAAGCACAGTAGCCGTTTTGATACAAATCGAACGCTCAGATAATTGCGTAGAGGTTGCAGACAAAGTCCTCGAGCACGCAAACGCATTTGCATCACGGTCCCACACGTTCAGCAAAGCCACCGCTGCTCCGCTCGATGCCGTCATTAACCCTACATCGAAAAACACTCACCACAACGCACTCAGTAGCAAATGTGACATTCAGACATTATGTCAGGAGGTTCGCGTTTTGATGCAGGTGGTTGAACAACAAAAGTGCACCCTCAACAGCCTTCACAAACAAAGCCCAACCAGACGTCATTTCACGACCTGTGCCCCTAAGCCAAATTACCGATCCGGCAAGTGTTACTTTCACCGCCGTTTCGGACCTTAAGCTTGCAAAGGCGAAAAGCCCTGTAGTTACCGCTCAAACCAGGTGATGGCAACAAGCTCTACCGGCGCCCCTGTTCTTAGTCGCCTCATTTACGTGAAAGACAAGACTACCGGTATGTGGTTCTTAATCGACACGGGAGTGCAGGTCAGTAAAATACCGGTTTCATAACGGTCCACCGTCTCTTCTACAGCTCTCACACTGCAAGTCGCCAACGAAACTCCAATCCCAATCTGTCAGTCAATTTCTCACCCTGGACCTTGACCTGCGTCGTCCTTTCCCGTGGGTTTTCGTCATCGCCCAAGTGCACCAGGCTTAGATTTTTTGGAAAGTCACGGTCTCGTAGTCGATCCCGGTAAGCGACAGCTAGTAGATCGAGTTACATCAAATTTCGTTGTTGGTTCCCTGACCCAAGCTCTATCACCAGCAATCCTCAAGCCGATTCCCACGTCCGGACCAGGGTTCGGTAGTTTATTCAGCTAGTACCCTAATCTTGTCCGCCCAAACAACAACCTGTCTCCAATCACCACTGACGTGGCCCATTACATCGTCATACAACGGCCCCGGTCTGCGCTCGACCTCGCAGGTTTGCTTCAGACAAGCTCCTTGTAGCCCACTCCAAGTTCTAACATGCTCAACTTGGGAATCATCCGGCTTTCCAAAAGTCTGTGGGCATCACTCTCACACATGATCCCGAAGAAATCACTTGACGACTGGAGACCGTGCAGAGATTATCGCTCACTCAACCGAGTGACTACGCCCGGTCGGTAACCTATTCCGCATATCACGGACCTCACAGCTGGTGCAGTTGGTAAGATAATTTTCAGTCGAATAGATTTAGTGCGGACGTATAACCAAATAACAGTGGCTGAGGCAGATAACCCCAAAACAGCCGTAACGACTCCTTTTGGTCTTTTCAAGTCTCTACGAATGCCGTTTGGACTTAGCAACGCTGCGCAAACTTTCCAACCTGTCATCGATGTGATACGTTGTGGTTCGGTCTTGACGACATCCTGATTGCCAGCTCGCCTAAAACTGGACATCTGTCCCATCTACGCACTCTTTGCGACCGCCTGTCTCAGCACGGGGTCACGGTCAACGCGAATAAGTGTAATAGGCGTCGATGACGGCGAATTTTTAGGCCACGAAGTTACTTCCATAGGGATTATACCATTGCAGGATAAGGTGCAGGCTATTGTGGACTATCCAAAACCTTCGTCATCTAAGCAACTACGGCACTTCGACGGGTTGGTCAAATTTTATCGGCGTTTCATTCCACAGTGCGTTCAGCTAATGCAGCCTCTCACAGATTTGTTAAAAGGCAAAGCGAAGCATCTGGTTTTCACAGAAACCGCACGAGACGCATTCGCAGTGTTGAAGCAGACTATCAGCAACATAGCTTTGTTATCCTGCCTGAACCAGCTTCCCCAGTTGCGTCAGTCACCGACGTATCAGACAAGGTCGTGAGCACGGTACTGCAACAATACTTAGCTGACACTTGGCAACCCGTTGCATTATTCCCAAAACACTACGACCAGTTGAATCCAACAATGGCACGTTTGGCCGCAAAATCTTCGCTATCTACCTAGGTATCCGTCACTTCAGACATATCTTAGAGGGACTCGAATTCACGGTCTACACCGACGATAAGCAAATCATTCATGCGTTGCGTGTCACCACGCACAGATGCTCTCCCTGAGAGTCTAGACATCTGGATGTCATCACTCAGTACACGAGTGATGTACAACATATCTCAGGTGGCGATAATCCTGCCGCAGACGCGCTATCCCGTATTCACAACCTGGACCTCAGCACCCCCGGCCCGATCAACCTCGAGGCTATTGCATCAGCTCAAGCACACGATCGCAAGGTAGAACAACTCCGTAGAACTTCATCGCTGCGGCTCCAGTCAGTTCCCATTCCTTCGGCCGAAAGTTACATACTGTGTGACATGTCCAAAGGCCACCCAAGGCCAGCAGTGCTGTCAGACTTTAGACGACTGGTTTTCAAGACCTTACACGGTTTATCCCGCCCATCATGCCCAGCACAACATGAACCGTGATGTCACTGCATGGGCCCGTACCTGCAACCAATGTCAACAGTCGAAAGTGCATGGGCACACAAAAAGCCCTTTATCAAAATTTCCAGCCGTCAACTCACGTTTCCAACACATGCATGTTGACCTAGTAGGGCCGTTGCCTCCGTCAAAGGGTAGCATATATCTTCTTGCTTGCGCAGATCGTTTCACCAGATGGCCGTTAGCCGTGCCTCTGCACAACGAAGCTAGCGAAACAGTCGCCCAAGATTTCTTAGAGCACTGGGTAGCTGTATTTGGTTGTTCAGTCGTGGTTACCACAGACAGAGGCTCGGATTTCGAGGGAGCCTTCAGCAGTCTCCTGCAACGTTTAGGCACCCGTCGCATTCATACCACAGCCTACCACCAGTCAGCAAACGGAATGGTAGAACGTTTACATGGGCAACTCAAGGCAGATTTAGCACCTTACAAAAACCCAGAGTGGCGGGAATCGCTACCGTTAGTGTTCTAGGTTGCCGCAACGCCCTGAAGGCCAATATACAAATCGAATCAACCGAACTCACATTCGGGTGCGGGCTTCGACTTCACGGTGATATGGTAGCCCCAAAGTCTACCAGCACTTTTGACTACGCCGCCAGATTAACGCATCAGATACATAAGTTGCACCTTCCCGCGGCTCGCGAAAAAAACACGACGGTTTACGTATACTCACACCTCCAAGAATGTCCGTACGTTTTCCTTAGAACAGAGGCACGCGCTCCTCTACAACCTACCTACTCCGGCCCCCACAGGGTCCTACGCCGCCTAGAGAAAACATTCGTCATCAACCAGAACCGCAGAAAGGAAACGGTTACCATGGACCGACTCAAACCAGCTCTTCTGGCCGAATCCATCCCGTCCTATTGCACTCCACCGAATTCTTCAGGAAAAGCGCCCACGTCCCCGCCGTCCTGACGCAGCTCTCAACGCAGAGTCCCCTCCACTGACTTCCAAAGGCGAACGGGTGATCAAGAAACCCGTTCGTTTCACAGATACGGTATTTTTTATTCCATAAGTAAACAAAAAAGCCTTAGAAAGAATTCTTTTTTACCCACTGTTGTTGCTCCTCATTCGAAGTTTGTTCTCTACACTGCGGCCACTTACCATTTCCTTTTTATCGCTGAACAACTTTGTAGATGTTTTGCTCATCCGTCATCTCCGGATATCATCACTAAAAGCCTGCAGTTTTGAAGGAAACTCCCACCGATTTTAAAATACCCGTTCGCTAAGAACACGAATCCGGTAGCCCTCCGGTACCCATACGCAGGAAACGTGAATCACCGAGGAGATCGACCGTAATACCTCTTACCAAGCTGAATCCGTACTAGGTCATTCACTGGGGTAAGTGGAGAGAAAACTCCACTGGCACCTTCGCCGTAAGCACCAGAATATCCTACCTCCCGCGTTGAACCTACGTGGTTTTTCGGGTTGAGTAGCCAGCTACGGCGGCTCTTCCCAGTGTCACGCTTCGAGTGCCAACCGCCACATCCTAACGCATGTAACTATTCGTTCTCTCTTTTGCGTTTTTCTACTTTCTTCCTTGGGGGGAATCATGTTATCAACCCATTTTCAACGCAAATAAAATGGTTTCAACGAGCTGTTTATTTTTATTTTCAAAATAATTCACTCACTTCGGAGTGAATTTACACGTCTCTTTTGTTGTTGTGTTTGTTCTACCTGTCAGGTGACCGGATGTCATCCAGAGACAATACCACCAGATCCAAGGACTTTGAAGATGTGGTGCGAACCCACGAACGGTTTCAAAGTTACAAGGAACTGCAGCATTTATTTATTTCACTGGTGTTATCAAGTGCGACATGCTCATTCTCTTGCCAGACTCATAAATCGAAGCCCTTCATGCGGGCGATCTTCTGAAAAGGAGCCTCTATAGTGATAAGCCGATCACACCCTACCTATCACTTGTTTGACTGGACGTTTTGTGCATGTGGCAACCGCTAGCGCTACTTTCAACACACTTCCTCGGCGCAAGCCGGTGTGCGGTCTCTGTACTCAGGCCCAATGAGAATACACGCGGTTGGCACTCCACGGTTTTTTCTCGTTGACTGCGTCGACAAACGCGATCGGAGAAGCTGAGGGAGTGTGCCTTCCAATACACGTACGCACCCCCTGATCTGTATTCGTCTACTCTCTGATCTCCATTTAGCGCAAGCGCGCAGTTTAACTGTTAAACATCACAGAACCGTACACTGCATGCCGACCTTATGACTGCCCCTGCTGTCCGTTTCTGATCGAGAATGCCGTTTTATCACAACTGATCTACGAGTTCCAACTGGCATAACTGTTTACTGAACGCTGCTCCCCCAATCTTCTGTAATCTACATTTGCCGCCGTTTCGTCGTTCATAAACCTATTCCATCTGTCTTCACAGTTTCTGACTGACCGTCGTCAGATTGGGACTGCGTAAGATCGAGTGATCAGTACTTGTAGGATCCACAGACGTTTGGGGTTCTACAACTGGCTTGAACTGGTTTCCCGACTTCCTGGTTGGGACCCAATAGATGAGGACCATTATTGATTGGAGAAGTTGAGGGGCAAAGCTCGGAACAGAAATCAATAACGCGAATGTAGTACGGTCTGTTTGTTGAACTCCCGTGCTCCATAGTCACAAAGTCACTCAGACGATCAAAATAACAAAAAATATCAAAAGATGTACGGCGAAAAAGCAAAAAAGTCACAAAACATGACTTTCTTACTAACTACTTCTCACTCTCTGTTGTACTTCTCTCTCATTTTTTATATTGATGGTTGTTGCGTTGGCAGCGATGAACTCGAAGAACACGATAGACTGTACCCTAATTTTATAGTCGCGCAATCAATTCAGATTTTATTGTTACATAAACAGCAAGCCACTGCAGTTGACACACTTGGACTTTGACAACGTCCTGGATTAAGAAATTGAAATAGTTGCGTACTGATGAACGCAAACACGCATTTTTCGCGTTAAATAGCAGCAAAAATTAGACTTATTGTTCGACTATGTAATAAGGGCACGAACCCCGCGCGTTTACCAAGTTCATAAGTGGCTGTCTCCCGAGCGTATTTTTAGGTTATTCAGTAGTGCACCCAGAGAGACAATCGGCAGGCTCCTACTTAAAATCCAGGTATAACGACAGACCTTTGTATATATGTATATATAAATGCAATAGTTCACTACATGGATGCCGGTCTTTCTGCATAATGCCGAAAAGCGTGACTGTAGCTTGCATGCTTTCAGTAGAAGGTATGATAAAATAAAAGTGCAGATCAGCACAAACATGAGAAATACATCCAAAAAGAGATCTATATTTCGTGTGTCAAAAGAAGTATGATGATTTGAACCAGTGAATCTCAAGCTGTACTCGTGCTCTTTTCTCATACCTTGGAACTATCAGGGTGATTATCTAAAACCCTCAATGGGCCGCGCTAACATCTGGCAGCTAACTAGTTCAATTGTCCACTTACGATGTACTGTGAGCTTACCTCGTACTTCGCGGCAAGTTCATCGTTCTTATCAATATCCACTCTAGCCAAAAGGACGGATTTCATATGTGTTTGCATCACTGCCTCTAAACGAGGTCCAAGGAGCTTACAAGGAGCGCACCTGGAACACGGGAAATTTACATATTTTACCATTAAACTGTGAACGAGTCACACCAGAGAAGCATGTTAATGGTGAACTGTTTCGCTAGTAATCAAAAAACCCACAGAAGTGACATTTTCGATCTCAAAAAGGATCTGTCCATTAATTACTAATAAACATTACAGGTTTCAAACTTTTATAAACGTTTTAGAGGGGACTGTTATTGACTAAGGGCAGACGGCTGGTCATCAATCACAATGGCGGCATACACATAAGAGTCAAACAGGAAAAATTGAAACTTAGGACCGTGTTCTCATTCTGAAGGTAAGTCTTGACCAACCGACGAAATAACTCTTACCTTGTTATTCTAAAAATGGGATCATCGTCTATGCACGCTCTATACGATTAAAGTGAGACTACAATGACAGACCAACTGTGGAGTGCTCAAGTATGCAGATGATACGGCGGAAGAGTACAGGGTGTGCCTACCTGATAAGCAGCAACAACCGCAAAACCGGTCGTGCTTCTGGGATATTATGTGCTGTCATCCAGATACGATATTTCAGTTTATCAGTGTATTCAACAATTAAGCTTGCACTTCTGTGCCTTGGTTTCGGTTGCTAACTTCCAGCATCGTCCAGTAAAGGGCGAAAAGAATAGAAGCATTGTGATAAAGATAAAAAAAGTCAAACTATCAAGGTGAAATTATAACGACAAGGAAAGAGTCAAAATGCTACTATGCCACTGGTCGCGAATCCTAGCCCATATCACTTCCAATCAGTTATTTGGCGGATCACGTGGACCCCAACCTGGAAGTCTCACATGTCCAACTTCGTCGAGTCCACTGGTCAAAGTTTTCATACCTTTCTGCCATCTAATAGATTGACCACCTCGACCTACCTTCCAACCACCACCTGCATCAAGGAACAGCGTACGCTGAGGAAGTCTATCGGTTGGCATACGTAACAAGTTCCAGCCACCTTAACTTGCTTAGATACAGTACTTGTTCCAGTGGTTTACCATTGGCTCCCAACACCCTATGCCTGACCTCAGCATTGCTGATACGGTGTTCCCACCATATTCGAACAACGCTACGGAGACATCGATGCTCGAGCACCGACAGTCTTCGCCTATCTTCTACCCTTGACGGCCATGTTTCTGAGCGGAGCAGAAGAACGGACCTAACCACCTCAGTGTACACTCGACCCTCAACAGATAATCGGATGTCACACCGGCGCCACAGATGACGGAGGTTGGCAAAAGCCAAACGCGTCTTCTGTATACGCGATGACACTTTATCCGATATCTGTCCACCTAGTGAGATGTTACTGCCCAGGTTACAAAACTTATCTACTTCAGCTAGAGCTTACCCTGCCAACACAAGGTTTGGTGTTGAGCCAACCCAATCCTGCAACAGCATTTTACACCTTGAAGGTGCGAAACGCATCTCAAACATTGCTACTCTGTTGTTTAGGCTATCTAAGGAAGCTTGGAACTTACCTGGATCTTCACTCAGGAAAACAGTATCGTCCGCATATTCCAAATAAAACAGTTTACTGCCTGAGCAAAGATCGACGCCGCTATTCGCATACGAGGGTAGGGCTATTTCGAGAATCAATTCAATCACGAAATTGAAGAGGAAGGGTGAAAGACGGCAACCCTGACGAACACTTCTTTCCGTGATGAACTCAGGGGAAAGATCGCCGTAAGCACAAACTCGGCTTCGGCTGTTCGCATACAAGCATTGGAAAAGAGAAATAAACTTCTCTGACACACCATCCAGTGAGAGGCAGCGCCAGAGAACTGTGCGGTTGACCGAGTCGAAAGCCGTTTTCAGATCAAGAAAGATAGAGATTGTGGGATTACGGAAGATGTGTCTGTGCTCTAAGGTTTTCTGAAGAGTAAAGATACGGTCGATACAACCCCGGCCGGATCTGACACCGGCTTGGTTCTCACGCGTACACATTTCGCGATCATTGGATAATCGGTGGAGAATGAGCCCGGTGAGCAGTTTGGATGCGATACTTACCAAGCTAATTCCTCTATGGTTTTCAGAAGAGGATCTGTCACCTTTGTACCGGCGGCCAACTTCGTCCATACTTTTACCACGTTTATTGTTTAACTGAACGCTGACCATCAAGCGCGGTGGCCATTTGACCGTTGCTCTTGCGCACGATCCCAAATACACGCTAACAACTATCTCTCCCAATCGCCTTCTCGTTCTCACGGGTCGTGGAGAATACTGTTCTGGTTAACATATTCGTACAGTGCCAAGCATTAGAGTAACGTGCAGGTGGTCCACGTAGTACAAAGGACCGAAGCACGCGTTTACTAAGGAAACCGCGAAGTTAGGTCTAACCAACCTTACAATTGGTGAGCCCGACGTGATCCTCAGGTCACGTGAGTTTCCTTGTTTTCTACCGTTCAAGGTCCCGTCTGCGTACGTTTTTGTGTGTTTTATTGTTTCCCTATCTGTCGATTTTTTTGGTCGGTTTACCAAATAATTTTTTTTGTCTATACATATTTTTGGTGTCTAGTTCGTCGTGATTTTCTCCTCCGAAGATTATAGTGCCCCATTGGTCGTTGATTTCGTTTCCCGTCTGTATTCGATAAGATAATCGATGTCTGCTGAACAGAAACCCTGCTCAGACCCCACCGTTGGGGCGATCACGCTGCACATACCGGCATTCACTCCTGCTGATCAAGAACTCTGGTTCACGCTGGTCGAGTTAGAATTCGAAAACTGCCGTATAACCAGTGACGCCAGCCGTTTCAGGTGGGTAGCAGGCCGCCTCCCGCTAGAGGTCACAATGCAGGTAAGGGACGTAATAATCTCTTCCCGAAGCTATGAGGCTTTGAAGGAGGCTGTCATTGCCCGCATGACCCCAACGCAAGACCAACGTATGCAACAACTTCAAAACGCTGAGCTTGGAAGTAGGAAGCCCTCCGAACTGCTGCGTGAGATGCAACGCTTGAGAGGACCGACAATAGGCGAGGACCCGCTCTTAAGGGAACTTTGGCTGCAGCGTTTGTCGCAAAACATTCCAGTTTTACTAAGTGCCACGCGCAAGTGTTCGCTGGAGGAAACTGCAGCGATAGCTGATGACATTATGTCACGATACAACCCCGCTGTAGCTGGAGTAACCAGGTCCTCCGTCACAACGGTGCCTGCCTTGCCAACATCTAACGACCTCACGTCAGTTTTGTCTAGAGTTGACGCGAGCCTGCAACGCCTAGCAGTTAGAAGTGGGTCACAGGAGCGGCACCGCGCACGCTCATCTAGGATCCATAGTCCGTCACTGCGACGAGGTTTCGGCTCTTCAAAAGAAGGGTATTGTAAATACCACAGTCGCTTTGGTGAGGGAGCCAAACGATGCGAACCAGGGTGTACGTTTCTCGGTGCTCATCAGGGAAACTAAATCCCCGGCCTGTGGTGGTGACCCACGAAGCCGGGTATCAGATCAACAGTCGCCTTTTGAACGTAAAGGATATCATTTCAAATAACCTATTCCTTGTAGATACCGGTGCCGAAGTGAGCGTCCTCCCCCAAGCGAAAGGCGACAGTAGCACACCACACGCCCAAACACTACGCGCTGCCAATGGCACGGCCATCCCAGCGTTTGGCCAACGGTCGCTCACCTTAAACTTAGGTTTAAAGCGTAATTTACGTTGGGTATTCATCATCGCCGACGTCCCGTACCCAATTCTAGGCATTGACTTCCTGCAACACTTTGACTTGTTAGTTGATGCACAGCGCCGCAGAGTGGTGGATCGTCAGACCACTCTCGCTGTTTCGGGTTTTAATTCGTGAGTGAATCACGTCACGCCTTTTTACGTTCAACCACCGGGACACTAACCTTATGGCGAACTCATCGCCACCTACCGGGCCATGTTTCGGCAGGCCGGGCCTCTCCCAGCAGTGACCACCAACGTCACTCACTATATCGATACTAAGGGATCCCCAGTGTTCAGTAGGCCGCGTCGGTTAGCACCAGACAAGCTTCGTGTTGCACAGGCTGAATTCGAAAACATGCTAGAACTAGGTATAATACGCCCTTCTAGTAGCCCTTGGGCTTACCCTCTTCATATGTTCCCTAAGTCTAGCGGCGACTGGCGACCCTGCGGTGAGGACTCGGCATCCAGTCCATCAGATTCTCTAACCGTACCCGCAACGCGAAGTGGCCGTCGCCGTCGCCAACTACGAAATCCCGTCCGCTTCGCCGATTTCGTGACGATTTTTACAACCGAATGTTAGCAATAAGTTGGGAAGTTCACCATCGATTTACCAACCAACAGGCCCGAGAAATTACAATCGGTAGTTATGATTTCATTTTCTTCTGGTCTCCCAGCGACTACAACAACACCGAACATCGTTCGTGTGTTGTTATTACGGTCCAACATCCGCCGGCGCCCTCAGGCGCTATTTCGTTCCAGTTTACTTTGCCCTCTCTCAGACGGATTTACACAGTCACATTGGCTTCATCCGTAGTCTCGCTGACTACCGTGCACGTTCAAGGAGCCAACCACTCCCTGGACAACGGGACGATTGGTCAGCGTGGTACTGGAGACGACAACTGGACGCCCTTTTGGATGGACCTGACGCGGCATCTTCAGGCTCGCATGCGTATGAGACCCGTGGGCGCCAAAACACAATTGGACCGACGCACATCGGACCTCGAGAGTACAGGCATCGTTAAACTCAGCAGCGGCCGTTTGACGTCACCAACAGTATAACGGGCAAGCTACGAGGAGTTCCTAGAAAATCAATACTTCCGGCCTACCGCCATGATCGAAGCCCAACTCCATCGGACTTCTAGGAGGAGGCCCCTGTAGCGGCGGCCAACTTCGTTCATACTTTTACCACGTTTATTGTTTAACTGAACGCTGACCATCAAGCGCGGTGGCCATTTGACCGTTGCTCTTGCGCACGATCCCAAATACACGCTAACAACTATCTCTCCCAATCGCCTTCTCGTTCTCACGGGTCGTGGAGAATACTGTTCTGGTTAACATATTCGTACAGTGCCAAGCATTAGAGTAACGTGCAGGTGGTCCACGTAGTACAAAGGACCGAAGCACGCGTTTACTAAGGAAACCGCGAAGTAAGGTCTAACCAACCTTACACCTTTCTTATAAATCGGCACAAACACCGATTCATACCATTCCTTCAAAATTTGCTCATTATCCCAAATAATACGGAGGAGTTTTGTTAACTCCGAAACCAAGGTTTCTCTTCCATTCTTGAAAAAAGATGGAGACAACCCATTCGGCCCACCGGCTTTATACCCGTTCATGTAACCTACCTCCTGGATAACCTCCATTTCTGATGGAGGGGTGATATCCAACTGCATCGTTCCTCTGGCAGGTATATTTGGAAGGTCCACTGTAGAAGTGGGCCAACTGAATTGTTCCCTAAAGTGCTCCGCCCAACAATCCCGACGACGTCCCTGAGAGTGAATCAGTGAGCGGTCGGATTTCGTAATTACCTCACTTACACCAGGCTTCCGTGGACCGGTACCTCTAGTCAAACGGAAAAGGTTGCGAGCATTGCCAATGGACGCGGCCTTTTCCGTTTCCCTACATTTCACAATCCACCACTGCTCACGGTCATTTCTCAGGCTCCTAGTCAACTGGCATCTCAGGGGTTTGTGCACTTCGTTGAGTAAGGCATACGGAGGGATGAGTCTGTGAGCATCCAACTGAGCAACTGATGTTGAAGATATCCGTCCTTTGTGAGGTCTATTTGAACCAGAGTTCTGGGTGGCATTCGAAGTGGCATACAAAGCTTTCCTGATCTGTTGCCAGCGTTCATTTGGGTCCTGAACATCTGGCTCCATCGATAACTGCGTAGACAGCTCCGTCTGGAAACTGTGTCGCTGCTTGTCGTCTAAAAGCAACTGCTTGGGACAAGTGGCATTTACTTTGGTGCGACCACGGACGAGACGTAAACGGAAGCGAGCACGTTCCAGGGCGTGATTTGAGTCCACAGGTGTAAACCAAAAAGAACGACAATCTTCAACTAATCCGCGCTAGCGCTGACCAATGACAATATGGTCAATCTAAGTCTAACGTTGTGAAGGTGTAGGAGGACGCCATGCGAGTCTATGCCGCTTCTAATGGCAGAATTTCGTACTTGCCAAAAACAATCCGTGATCAGAGCACAGCTGAATCAGACGATCGCCGTTATTGGTGCGATCGGATAGGATAGCAAATGGGCCTCAAATTTGCCTTTCGGAATCCCCCAAACGGCCGAATTGGGTGCTGAAATCCCCAGCAATGACCACCACGTCCGTTGAACGTGCGCTTCGAAGCAGTTCAGACAAATCCTGATAGAATTCGTCTTTGGCCTCAGAGAAGCTGTAGTCAGTCGGCGCATACAAAGAAACGACGAACAAACATCGGCGCTTCAGTTTGTTGTCGTTGGCACAAACAGAACAGAACTGCACACAAACGACTGTTGACTGGAATCCAGTCTACTGGTGCACGCTCAACTTTCATGCTCAAAGCAATCCCAACGCCACCCTGACCAAGAGCTCTAGACACCGAATCGTCCGACACACGAAGAGTGAAATGAGAGGCTGAGGTTGTATCCGGGATGCGAAGAATTATCACAGAAGTGGGGTGTTGTATGCGCGTTTCGGAGACACAGCATACGTCTATTTTGAAAGTGTCAAGTGTTTTAGCTAGAGCAGCCTGTTGTCCTATCGAATGTGGTGTGCAGACGCAGAAGGCAGCCAAGTGTAGTGAACAATTAGGCTTATGAAGTGCATTTGATTTATACCCAACTGAACTACTGATTTCATCAAAGCCTCAATTACCCGTGGCGTTTTGCGTCGACAAATTAAAAGAGGGAAAATTGGTAAGGCCCTTTACAGGAAAGATATTGGAGGTTTCTGGGTGAATCATACTTTGCGGCTGCCCACACCGCAGAAGGGGTTGTTCTTTGGGAACCCTAACCGGAGCCTTTGACTCAAAGGTCTGACCCGCGAGGTGGTGGGGCATTAACCCAGCACAAGAACGTGACCGAAGCACCCATGAAGAAACTTCTTCTGGTATGTCACGTGAGACCTGATTACTGCATGCATTTTGTCTCGTCTTAACCGGTGCATTCTTATCGATCCGCTTTTCGGATTCAGTCCTTATCCCCATGCACCCAATGGAGGAAACAGAACGTGAACGGGGCAGCATCCTTTGGGCTGGGGGCTACCCAGCTTAGGCGGGCGATAGCTGCCCAACGAAGTGCGATGACTTCTCCCACCGTCGAGAGGAACCGTAGGTACTTCACTCCTACGTCCATCTCGTGGAGGCTTTTTGACCGGTGAACTGTTTCTCTCCGTGTTTATTCCAGGGGCATACTGAATAGAACCATATGTTGCCCGTCAACTGGTTCTGAGATTGGATTCTGTCTGGCCTCTACCCATTGACCTGTCAGGCACGATTGTATCTCCGGTTTAAGGAAGCCATCCTGCATAGCTCTTTGGGTCATACAGGCACGCAGGCAATTACACCACGCCATGGTGCAGTCTCGTCGTGAAACAATATTGTACTACTTACAACAAACAGCAGTGTCAAGATTACGCAGGCACGTTTCACGAGCAGACGTCAGATAACGACACTGAAGGTGACTCATGGAACAAAAGCGAATGGCATTAGGATGCAAGGACTAAATGACATAATGTAATCACGAAACGGATGTCAGAACAATGAGACTGTAAACGGATCATCTAGCAGGAAAGCGGACAAGGCATCACACTAGGTTCTGTGGAAATTCCAAGTCAAATAACGAGATTTATACAACGGCACTGAAGTTACTTCCCATACCTGGTAAACCATTGTTGTAATGGAGGCATTTTATAGTTTATGCTTTGCCCACTTGTAATAAAAAATAAGTTAAATTAATACTCCGTTTACTTTTTATTTACTATAAAACAAAGTACGACTTTCTTCAGCACGGAACACAAACAACGCACAAGCAACATGGGCTGTTCTTCATTGTTTGTCCTTTCGCTTTTCGCGCCATAAGTACAGCGACAGCATTGTGCTCACTGTTTTTCTGCCCCATCAGTTCAGCCATCAACCTCGCACTTCTGTGCTGTGGTTTTGGTTTCTACCTCCCAGCGTCGTTCAACCAAGGGTAAAAAGAATAGGGCATAAAGTGAAGAAGAGCCGAAAACAAAGTAACAAACGGAAATGAAGGGAAAGAAAGAGACAGAATGCAACTACACCATTGGCTACGACACCTAGCTATATCACTTGCATTTATTAATCTACATTGAATTCAAAATCCGCAGAGAATAGCTTGAGAACTTCCGAAAGACACTCCACTCTTGCTTCCAAGCTCACACCTCATTCGAAATTTCATAAAACTTCAAATAAAATTACAGGATTTCCATCAACTAATGGTCCCAACCCCACCCCCTTAGAATGCAGTGGGGTTACTGCACTCGTGCGTAGCTAAAGAATAAAAATGTCACATAGTTGTCCTTAAGTAACGCGGTGATTGTCCGTGCATAGTAAAGCATACCACTGGCAGTTCGGCTAGTTTAAAACCGCACGGATAGGCTGAATGAGAACTCGGTAGCGAGGCAAGAGAAAATTGTGAATACCTTATGATAAGCAAACGGGGTTTTCACTCTATGCTCATGCGTGAAGGCAGTGGAAAGGGTGTATCCTATAGCTACGACGGCTCTTTGCAGTATTAGGAATCTGAAACCATGACCTTACCACTTGAAGTGGAGAACCAAACGAGGATGGTCCATACGATGATAACACGCCACATGTCAGCTGAAGACGTGAGGTGTGTATAGTTTATGGTATAAAACATACCAAGTGGCGTGAAAATCCACAAGAACAGGGGCGGAGTTCTTCAGCACTCGATTTTGAAAATCGACCGCGTCTTGTATGTTCGTTATGCCACATTCCGGTCTCGTGCTGCTGGTGTGACGCAAATGAAACTGAAGAGCTCAAGCGATACATAAAACCTACTACCTGGGAAATTCTCGACGTTCTCCATACGGAATTGATGAATCTAAGAATACTCGTGATAAGATAACTTCTACCTACCTTATGGCGACTGGTTGGATGGGCATCTCTGACAAAAGGAAATTGAAGGTAATTTCGAAATTTTTACGAGAAATCAAAACACAACGTATTAACAAAGTCATTTATCACTCAGAGTGAGGTACATCAGTGAAACCTAAACGCAACTGATTCTGTTGCTTTGTTATGGTCCCAGATACATCAATATAACGTTCCACACAGTTGACTAGACAGGTTTGCGTCTTCGTGTCTAGTGTAGACCCTAATTTTTGAACGCACTGTTCCCAACAAATCCGTGTTAACTGCTGGCTCAATTGAGTAAATCGTTGTTTTTCAGTCTCCTGCAGGACATGGCGTTGAAGTTCAGGGTCCATTGTTCTACGAAATGACCGAAGAGACTGCTAGTGGTACACAGTACAATTCATGATGTAACAAGTGTGAAAGCATAAAACCAAAATGGTTATTGTACCAAATTATCAGTGCAAGAAATAATTATAACTGAAATGGTCCAGGCTTGTTTCAATTCAGATTACCAAGAAGTGAAAATAGTAGACGTTTTCTACATTCTTGTTCTGAAACTATTTTGAAAAGATGTATCGCCCCGGATGGTACTAATAAAAAATGCCACAGCGCGTATAACAGTGAAAGAAGTTGGTTATCAAGCGAAAAATTACAAAGGTAGGCTGATTAATCGCCAACCGTACGACAAAAACAGTTTTGATGGGTCTGACGGGCAACGACTCCGCGACATTAGGTACGTTACTAGACGATTGGCCATTATTACCGATGCAATCCACAATGAGGAGCGCAAAACCCTGAAGTTCCAACTGATTAGCTGACTTGAAAGTGAACGCGAACAATAGAGATACAAGATGTGAGGAAACTGAGACTAGAAAGATGACGGTAGATGCAACCGTTTGCTCAGAGATAAACCATCGCTGAAACCAGTCTTCAGGTAAAGAGCAGTGATAAGTCACCTCATATGAGCCTCATCGCAATGCGCTCTATTGGCTTGGCTAGATGTCAGTGGCCTGCCAATGTTCCTTCAGGATGTTGTCCAGTTGCCTCATAAAGATTTTCTCGCTCACCTCATCTTTCGCGTCGGCCGGTAAAGCGTTCCAGAGCATGGTCAATCTCCCCGATACACGATAGACGACTGACCAACCGGTGGATTACAATTTTCGGAGCGTCACATGTTCCGGGTAAGATTGTTTTTCCTGAGCCGAAATTCCGACTGCAGGTCCGGATCCAAATCACCACGAATAATTCGCCTGGCATAAATGAGGACACTACGGATACGCCGGTAGGCAATGGGAAACAGTCTAATGGCTTTCAAAAGTTCATGGCTGATCCCACATAACCCAGCCACCAGGCGTGCAGCAGCTCGTACTCGCTCCAGTTGGGCTACTTTCGTAACTGCAGGGGTAGACAGTAGGACCACCCTATTACAAACGAGGACGTAAGCGACAAGCATACAGCAATTTGAGGTATCCAATGATAAACCCCTAAATGGAAGATCGACTGCACTTAGCATTCTCCACACAAAGGCGCATGTGTCCGGGTCTTCACAGTATGGCTGACGACAACTCCCAGGTTTTTCTCCTCAAGCGTGAGACGAATCACGGAACTCCCGAAGCAGTGATCTGCAGTTTTGGTCGCCCTACAAACCCTCATATAAGCACATTTGTTTATATTGACCTAAGCCCCCAGGAGATAGACCAACTAGCCAGTATATGTAGATCCTCCTGTATTATCCCGTTATTTTCTCCCGGTCGGACGGTGCACCAGAACTTTAGGTCGTCGATGTGGATGAGGCATCGGGATTGGAGGATCTGTGGCAGATCATTCAAAAATTAGGAATAACAGAGATCTCCACACGGAGCCTTGCGGAACAACACTATTGATTGAGTACTACATTGACAGCGACAGTGCGACTCACAGGAAACGTCCTCCCGGCCAAGGATTTCTTGATATGATTTCGGAAGCAGCTTGTCATGCGGAACTTTTCTGAACACTTTACTCAAGTTTAAAAAGATAACGTCCCTGACACACCCTCTGGTCTTTCTGTTTGACTAGTATTCACGAGTGATTAACAGGTTTGTCAGACACGACTTATTTCTCCAAAAACCACAGACGTTGCTAGTGTCCTAGGTGACCAGAGGAATGTGAGGCCGAAAGCTTTTTCACAATCTTTCCAACCACAGAAGTGAGGCTGACCGGATGGTGGTTGACCGTGGTGTATTTTGTCTAACTATTGTGCAGCAGCACGACCCGAGGCAACCTACCAGAGGCCATCGACAAACTGAAAGATTCAGTCAGCGTTGGGATTAGCTGTCAAGCCATTTCCCTCAACATCGACGGAGGAACGTTGTCTGGTATCTGCGACTGGTAGGTTTCGGTGAACTTGAGGAAATTATCCACTTCAGACTATAAAATCACCGAGGACAATGAAGGATAGTCTCTCCCCATCAGAGGTGACGCGTGTGTGGAATGTAGTACCTCTGTGGTAGACTTGAGTCCCTTGCACCATCCTCCATCTCCTTGGTCTTCATCATGTACGCAGCTCTCGCCTGTGACTCCACGAAGCTGAAGCATGCATCAGCGACCATGCCCCGGCAAACCTCTCGACCGGCGGCCTAAACCAAGTTGAAGATAACCAAGGTCTGCAAGCCTTGGCGAGACGGCGTTTGACATGCGAAGACATACTCCTGAATGGCCCGACGAGATCTACTGGTCCAACGGCTACCAAGGGAAACTGTCTAAGCTACCCGACCCGGTATTGTGAAAGAGGAGAGTGAGTCGTGCGACAGACCACCGGCTCATCTAGAACAATCCCGCTACCTTGTAGACTGCAACTATTCGAGCAAACTTATATGCACGAACGATGTACGCGGATACGATTCCCGTTCAACGAATAAAGTGAGCTGGACGATAGAAATTGATGGATTCTGATAGTCATATTGATTGTAAGTTGCGTCTTCCACGACAATCTCCGGAGGCTGCAACCTTTTAATGAATCAACCGAACAATAGACGTGTAACACGGTAACGAATGCGCCCGCGACACAGCGAAAACGACGACGACAACAACAACAACGACGGCGATTCGAATCGGACACGCAGGGCTGCCGGATGTGCTGGATGCAGCGCTCTTCCGTGAGGGTTGCACGTGCACGACCTGTGAAGGCATAGAAAGAATGAAAATCCGATGAGCCGAAGCCCAGTAGGTGTATGAGCAGGTACTAACAGTCACATCAGAGAGAATGAGAATGGCGGTCTCTGCCAATGCGTTACAGATGCTCAGGTATCACCTGAACACGTACCGGCACAGACTTTTCGTTGGATCACGAACATTCACAATTCACGAGGATCGACGGGCCTGGTAACCGTAGTTTTCGAGTGGTCCGGATTCTGTCGTCAGGTTGACTGCTCGAAGTTGGACAAGTCCTTGGAATTTGCTATATATATCCTTGATTTCCGGTGCCAATTCCATACGGTCTAGTATCCAGGTTTGGCTGACTTCTGTGCCTTCTGTTGTGTTTACAGAAATCTATAGAGAAAACAGAGTTAGGAAACCTAGTGAGGACTCCGCTTTCTGGTACATGAAGCAACAACCTCAATGTTCTAAACTGGGACTCCACCCAGTTCTAGCTTCATCCATGGATGGGGATGATACCCAGATGCACACGTAGTGACTATTGTCAGTTCTTCGGGCTCCTGATAGGTCTCCCACCGGCACTCGCCTTACAGTTGACCTAGGATGCCTGTCACTCTGTGCAAACAACTCAGACACCCTTTGCACACAATCCACCTGTGAGCGCTATTCAAAGAAGGGGAGTAATGAGGAGTTCCGCCTGCACCGCATAGCACAACCTGTTTTTACCACGCAACTGGCCTTAAACCATCAACTTAGGGACCAGGGATGTGTTAGAGCGCTGTATGTCGTTGATGTGTGTGTGTGTGTGGGGGGGGGTGTAGAAGTAGGTGCTCGTCGAATGACACCGGGGGGGGGGGGGGGGCTAGAATCCCCGTGCCTCGTGACCTATGATGTTTTCCTCTTTTCTTTTATTTAGCCGGTTTACGAGAGACGTAATCAAAAAATTTTCGTTTTTTCCCGCTCAGCCACATCATCGGCTTACGCAGCTTGAGCTCTTGTCTTTTCTTCTTCTCCCGCTTATTTACTAGATTTTTCATCTCCCTCTTTCTTCGCACTTCACAAACTTTTGCTTTTTTCCTTCCCCATATCCTTCCACTGGCTTTCAACATCATTTTTGTAACTTTCCTTCATTCTCTGTGTCTTTCCATTCTTTCTTTCATCTTTTTTTAAATTTCATTTTGGTTTACGTTCCTCTCCTTCGTTCTCCCTCCATTTCATTTTTTTCTTTATGGTGCGTCTAGCCGTCCAAGGCCTACCGAACTGGACCCTCCTTTTGTCCTCTCTTTTTTGCCTGGCCAAGTAGTTTGCACTAAAGGCGGGAAGCATGGTGTTCAGCCGCCGTGCCTAGATGGGTTTGAAACTTAATGAGTGATGCGTGTCTGTGCTCCGGTTTTCCCCCGTCTGGTACTCTGCCTAATGTACAATGTATGACTGAGTTTTATCGGTCAGCGAGAGAATCGATGGGAAATGCGGAAAACCTGGTACCTCCATCCCAACACTACACCACACTCAATCAACACCCGGTTCTCAAACAAGCTCCAGACTAAACTCATTTATGTCATTAGCATATCAAACCAAGCACCCTCTAATCACCACCGCAAAGCTGTACGGATGGCATTATTCCGAATGCCGTAATTAGAGTTTCGACTGGGGCACCCGGGTACTGCTCGGCTACATGGTTGTCGAGTTGTCTTTTGAACGACAGCCTGCAAGTCACTTCAACTACGGGTGCTGATAACAAGTTCCACGAGAGGCAGATACGTACTGAGGAACTGTTCCCTGACCTTTAGTCGTGGACGTTGCCGCTCCAGCTTTAGTGAGTGACCGCGCAGCGATGAAGTGGACGCTAATGCAAACAGATGCCGACTGGGGTGTCCCCTGTAGCATAGGATGTCCCGCAGGAGAATAAGCTCCCCTATGGTCCTTCGGTATTCCATACTATATAGAATCAGACGGGGTATGTCGCGTTGGATAGCCCTCGCACGCGCTTCGTGACCTTCCGCTGAACCCCTTTCCCTGATGGTGTTGATGTCTCGTCGGAGTACTGGTGGGTACCCCTGGATGTTTACCTCGAAGTTCCGTTTGACTAGTGTGGCAAAAACTTTTGGGAATGTTTCAGACGTGAACTTAACTAGGGGTCTGCTGAGTTGGTTAAGTTAGAACACGGCTCTGCGAGTCAGAACGTCGCAGTTTGTGGTCTGAGACAGATCATCTGCAATGATCGTGCCAAGATCTCTTTCTTGGGTAACTTGCTGAAGTATGCTACCTCCTGGGGAGTGCTTGTTCGCCCGATGTCCCCCTGCATGCCTGACCTTGCACTTGGCCGAATTCAATGGCAAGTCATTGCAGACTGACCATTGGAACGGACTGTCAAGATCGGGTCATAAAGCATCTATATCCACTGCCGTCCGAATCTCTCGGCAGATCTTCGCATCGCCGGTGTGCAGTAGTGTATTTGACCGTACCCTAGGAGGAAGACCGTTTACGAAGACATTATAGACCCCTGAGGTAATCCGCTCGGTGCCCGATAGCTATTGGATAGCGTTTCGTTTACTCTGACCCTGAAAGTTCCGTCGGTCAGGTAGTCTGGCACGCAAATGACCAGAGATTTGGGGGGAACCAAGTCTTGCCAATTTCTGTAGGAGTGAGTGGCAAACACGATCAGAAACCTTAGAGAAATCCAGGAGTATGACGTCCATCCAGACTCCCTTGTCTAGTGCTCCGGTGTACCATTCTATTGTTTCTATTAGGTTGGTTTGGCAAGATCTACGGCCACGGAGGCCGTGCTGAGCACCATTCAACATGTTACCATCATCGATGAACCAGCAGATGACATCATCGACCAAGCCTTCCATGACCTTGGAGACTATGGAGAGCAGTGCCACAATGCGGTACTTTTGCGGTACCGTCCTGTTCCCTGTCTTCAAGATCGGTGACATCACATAGGCTTTCCACTCATAAGATACCGTCTCAACTCGCACGGAATGGTTGAAAAGGTTTGAGAGTGGGAGAGCTAATTGTTCCGCACATTGTTTCAGCGATGGAATTTCATCCAGCCCCGGCGATCTTCAGGACTGTCAGCTACTCAGCTTACGCCCAACTTATGTAGGTGAGAGAATCAGTGATGCCGCATCTAAGAATGTACCTCGCGTCGCCGTCTGGATCACTTACTTGCTTGGTTTGGCCGTTCCGGAGATAATTCTGAGGAGTAGTATTGAGCCAAGGCATAAGCGGCCCTTTTCCGTCGTGTTCCATCCGCTTGCTGTACACCTGTTACTCCAAGTCTAGCCAGTATCACTGTAGATATGTGGCTAAAGAACCCACTGGGATCCATTACCACCTTGTGCAAGAACTGCCTCTGATACTCTGAAGCATCCTGCTTGCGCTTTGCACTACGGAGGTTTCGGATGTGGATGTAATTGGTATAGTCCTGCGAGCTCTGAGTAAATCTATATCTAACCCGTGCAAATCTCCTACTCTTTAGGGTTTTCGCATGCGGCGGCGCATCATTGGCCTGGGTCTCCGGGTTCCGACTGGTGTTCGCGGCACAAACCTCCGCATAGTTTGTTAAAATTCCCCTCATATTGTTCCAGTGCACGTTAACACAGGACTGGTCTCGCCATCACGACGAGACTGCACCTTGACGTGATGTGATGGCTTGCGCGCCTCTGTGATTCAAAGAGCTATACAGGATGGCTTCTTTAGGCCGGAGATGCAATCATGCCCGACAGGTCAATGGGCACAGGCCAAACGAAGTCCAGTATCCTGGTCCTCCAGGTTGGGGGCCGATCTGAGCTGGCAACTCAATCGGCAAAATCAGTGGAAGAATAATTGATCCAAGCAAATAGGCTCCCACTAAGCTATCCCGCTGCCTTGTGGATAGATTCTTGTTAGAACTAAAGGCTTCGGTTGAGAATCCTAATCGTTCCTCTGTTTTGCACGACTACGAAGAATTCCATACTGCATCGGTCGTCGTGTAGGATAATCAGGACCGCGCCGCCCACTGCATCGAGCGGGGTGGGTAGTGATAAGTGGGCTACTGCTCAGAATTCCCTTTTATTCAACCTTTGGCTTCTGTCCCCAATCACCGCTATTTGCCCCACTCTATCCACCCATAATACTCCCACTGACAACACGGCCGATATTCACGACGGTTCATCATCAAACAGTGTCGGGAATAATCCTGTCTGGTAACTCACATTTTTTTCAAGCTTCGTCAGCTTTTGAATCTCGGCTCCGTCAAAATGCGTACACTCATGCAGCCTCGTCAGCAGGCGTGCCTAGCCCTCACATTAGATTCTCTGAAGATTGATGTCTGCTGCGTAAGTGAGACGCGTATACAGGATTCGAGCAGTGTAATTCAACGAACTGCTCCTAGTATCTCATCGAGGTATTTTCTGTGCACTTCAGGAGACGAAGTAGCTCGAGCCGCGGGTCAACGTGGTGTAGGAATAGTCTCGACTGACAAGGCTGAGGATGCTCTCTTAGACTGGATCCCAGTGAACTGTGGTTTATGCGCTGTGAGACTCCAAGGGTCAGTCAGCGTTCGAAAGGATAGTTGTGTTAGGCGCAGCTTGTTTGTGATCTCGGCGTATGCCCCAACGGACTGCAGCTCTAACACGCAGAAAGATGACTTCTATGATGAACTCGCCATCCTCGTTCGCAGCAACAAAGGTTCTGACATTGTAGCGCTAGCTGGTGATTTTAATGAACAAGTTGGCAAACTTAGGACAGCAGAAGCTCGTTTAGGTTACCGTTGTGCTTTACCCGCTCAGCGCACATATAACGGGGATAGGCTTCTCCAGTTTTG